GGCATGACATGGCTGCCACAGCATGCTGAAGAGATTAAATTCCACGTAAAATGTCATCATACGAACGTTACTATGTGGGCGCCTGAGGCAAAATTTAGTAATCTGCAGAGGTGGGGAAATGTGTGCATGTGCACATGCATGTGCATAGCTCCCCTGAGAATCAGTCAAAAACGAGTCAAAAAGTATCTGCATACAAAAATACACATTTTAGAAGCATCTCTGTCAGAGCTGGAATAAAACTCCACAAATCATGCTAAGGAGTTTTTCTATAGAAAAGACATGGCTAGGAAAAAACAAACAAACAAACAGTTCTCTCAGTCTGTGTTCACTGAGGACTTTAGTTACATCATCCCTCAATAAGAGATAAATATAATCGAGCAGGGTAGTAGAAGCCACAAACCCATTTGGTCCTCTCACCCCCTTTGCCTACTTCTCTGCTAGAAAGTGACACTTACTAGAACTTGTTTTCTTAGGTCAAGCTTGTAGTTCATGATAGATGAGTGCTAGGACTTTCCTCAAGTCTGTCTGGAGAGCACAGGGTCCCAGAGAAAGATGCAGGGCAAGTTATAAGATCCTTTCTCCCCTGCTCCAATTAACTTCTCCCTTTCCCCAGGAAATTGCTTCACCATCTGTTTAATCTCCCCATCTTCACGACCCTGCTCTATCCACTCCCACCTTCTTCTTGTAGTCATTATCAGCTTTAAAAGGACAATGACGAAACCTGTGATAGATGGGAATTTTTCAACAGCTACTCAGCACAGGTGTGTAGGTCTAATGAGCTAATATTGCTCATACAGAAGGGTAACAGTATCCCAAAAAAAAAAAAAAAAAGTCAAGGACATGACATTTTCTGCAAAGGAAAAGCATTTTATCAGAACTAGCCCTTCCTGTGTAGAGAACTGACCTGCTTTTCTCAAGAAGGTGTTTCATTCATACCTGAGAATGACTAATCAGGTTGGTAATACTTGGGAGATGGCCAGATAAGGAAGATGTGGAGGTGGAGCGACTGTAACAAGCAGCCTTAGAACTTGCACTGCCATCTTATAAACAGACTGAAATTACACTGAAAATACATTTATCCAAACAAATAATTTTCTGAGCAGATAGGAACCCTTCCCAAGGTAAGGAGGCCAGGCACGGATGGTGCCCACCTTGAACTGCAGTGTCTCACTTGGTGAGGAGGGGTTGCTTTGCAAACAGCCTGGTCCTTGGAAGGTGCAGTTCAGGCCACTGCACTGCATCCCCCCTCCTAGAAGGCCACACACTGCCATGGATCATCACCTTACACCAGAAACTTGTCATTCAAGGTACATATAACCTGGTTATAATTCTGTTTCCCAAGAGCAGAGGAGGAAGCATTAACTTGGATCAATCTTCAATCACACAGTGTGCCTACTATAAAAGGGAGAGGTGAGCAGGCCAGCTAAGCCCAACTGTTTAACATTGGTTCTGAGTTCAGCAAAAGCATAAGGATCCCTTTCCCAAAGAGAGGCTGTTTGATTTGATCCATGAAAGAGTAAAAGGAGGAAAGGGTAGGACACATGAGCAGAGTGAAATGCAATGAAAATGAAGGGGCAGGAGGAGATAGCTATGTAGAAAACAAAGGCGATGAAGAGGGCGAATGAAGCTGCAGCACACTACAGCAAGGAACTGCTGGAGCCACCAGTTTTCCAAACCCCCACCTGAGCAAAGCTCTCCTGGCTGCTGCAACCAAGTGTATATGTCCAGGAGGATTCCCCCAGTGGGGCAGGAGAAGAAAGCACCATTTGTGTCCTCACGCCTCCCTTTACAACCCAGTAAACTACAGTAAAAAGTGGGTAACCAATTACACATAGCTGCAGCAACTAGTTGCAGGTTTATGCTTATACTTGATTTTGTACAGCTTTAGGGAAGTTAGTTAGCACACATGAAGCTCATCGTGGCTCTTTGCATGTTCTTGATCCACCATTTCAGTGAAGGTTTGTTTGATAGTCCTGAAAAGATGCATTATCTGTCAGTGCTCACAGCTGTCTCACATCACAGAATGTGTGTGGATTTAACTATAGCTGACCACAATCATGAAGATGCAGAGTATTTCTGATGGAATTAAACCTCATCTGAAAGAAAATAAAATTTAACCTGTTATTTTCAATGGCTATTTTTAATATGCTCATCAGAAACTGAATTATGCATAGTAAGATCTATTACTGTCTCCCACCTTAATGAAAGTGGGCTAGATACCAGTGCCTATGCGAATGTTAGCTATTACTTCTGCATACAGGCACTTCACCGTATCCTTCCAGAGCTTACGTACCCTTTTTAAACGTGGCAAAACCAATACGTGAACCTCTACTACCTTACCAACCTGAACTTTGAAGAGAGATTTGCAATAAAAAAATCCTACTTACAAACATGTCAAACCTGTTCCAGTGCAGCAGTTACAGATTTACTCGTAGAGCTGCTCTTTATCTCTTCTGTTTAGGAGGTGTGGAAATAGGTTTTTCTACGTAATCAGAACTGGCTTGAGATACAAAATGATTTTACCAGTCCATAACTATTTTGCAATACTGCCAATACATTAAGGTGGAACACAATGCCAAAAATGTATACTAATGCCCTAGAAAAGTTCAGAGTCATGAGTAAAACTTTTCAAACAATTACCCAGCAAGAGACAGACTATTTTCAAGCTTGGAGCATAATTCTCCACTCTGTCTGGGCAGGACAAGACACAGAATAATGCTCTATGAATTCAGGGGAGTTTGACCATACACTAGATGGGCTTTCTGTGAAGAGGGAGTTTAGAAATATCTGATTCCATTTACAGCACTGGAAGTATGAAGTAATTCTATTTACATAAGAATGGCAGGTGTGCACCCTATAGCTTGTACAAGAAACTAATCCTGAGAAATGGTCAGTCACACATGGCATCTTTCACTTTTCCAGCAAGTAATTTATGGGAGATGTGTGATGCTGTCAGAGGAACTCAGTCACTTCCCTTTGCCTTGCAATACTTCCGATTTCCAGGTGTATTAGCACCTTCCACATCACCTTTGTGTGCTTTCCAATCATATACAGAGCCAGAGCAATTATCACGGGATCTATACTGAGTAAGAACTTCTATTTTATGCAGCTGCTGCGCACTTTTTGAAGTGGGATCAGGTCCAGAGAGACCTTAGCTTTGGTTCTACTTTCTTGAGAAAGGTGTTGCTGTGACAGTTAGCTACCAACTGCTGAGTCCTCTAGGGGCCTGCATCATACACTTGTTGCCAGCTCTGTAGCACACGAGTGTTCAACTCGGTGAATCCATGTCTGAACTGAGGGCGCTGGCCCTCATTTTAGACAAGCCTGGAAAAAAAAAGCAGTATTTCAATTTGCCATAGAGTTTATTCCAAAGGCTGGTTTGGTTCAGCCTTGGCGAGTGTGGCTAGGTTACCTTCATATAATTATCCTCCTGGGCAATGAGTTGTAGAAGTTTGACTTTTTTCTCATTCTTTCTGTTTTTTTCCCTCAATAGTTCTGCTGTTTTTTTTTTAATTAGAGGTGTCAGTTTGGATCCCTCATTGGGAATGGTACAAGAATAAAAAGGACAGGAGCTATCTACAGAAAGAGGGGGTGAAAGTTTGTCTACGACTAGCAATTCCAGAGAATCTGCAGTTTTTCTTTTTAAGCTTCGCACTCCACTGTCCAGTGATTCTTCTACTAAGCTAGCAGCCGAGCCCAATCTTCTGACTGCCACATGCTGCATCACCTCTTTATTTTCCTCTGTACTTCCAGGCTTCTTCAAATGGGTATCTGTGTGGCACTGAAAGCCAGCATTTAGTCTGTTACAGCTGCTCTCTTGCATTCCTTTACTAGCACAGTCAAAACTGTCAGGTTTTGCCCCCTTCATAGTTTTCTCTCTGCTTTTAAAATCTTGACAGTTCCGCTCTAACAAACGCAAAAGCTCTAAGACTCTGATGGCCTTTTCATCTTTGTTGTCACTGGACAGCTCATTAGAGTTGACAATCCAAATCCTGTTATCATTGTTCTGTGAGACATTCTCACTAGTGGCTAAATCTCGCACAATGCCACTATCAAAGTCCTGTAAAATCAAACATACATGGTTGTCTGTCTTCTGGTCGGGTTCATGGATTATGATATCCTGAGGTGCTTCTCTGAGGTTATTGTACAGAATATTAATAAAGGATTCATACTGTGGCCTACAGATAACCTCATTGTCAAAGTATGTACCACTGCATTTAACTGCAGCATCAAAAGATCGATAACCAGATTGTTGAGGTCCAACAGGGCAAGAAATTATATCTGCTTTCTTCTGAACATCTTCCTCTGGTAGCAAAACTGAAGCTCTGTCATTTGCATGTGTGCAGAGAGATGGAAAATCAATATGATTTGAATAGGTGCTTTGAAAATTGAGCTCAGTGCAGGGGGATCTGTAGCTGGCATAACATCTCTGATCACCACAGGATTGATAAATTTGATCTCTGCAGCAAAGTTTTGGATTCTCTGAAAACCTCATCAAAGGCAGTGAAGAACATACATTTTCAAAACATGGAGTCAGACTATTGCTAGACTGAGACAGAAGAGTATCAAAGCTTTTGTATGCTGAACTATCGGTGCCCACAGATGGAGACATGAGGGTGTCAAAACTCTTGTATACAGCACTACTAGGTTCTGTGGATGCAGACACAAGGGTGTCAGAGCTCTTGTATGCAGAGCTGCAGGGGCCCGTGGATGCAGACACAAGGGTGTCAAAGCTCTTGTATGCAGAAGTGCAGGGGCTCGTGGATGCAGACACAAGGGTGTCAAAGCTCTTGTACGCAGAAGTGCAGGGGCTCGTGGATGCAGACACAAGGGTGTCAAAGCTCTTGTACGCAGAAGTGCAGGGGCTCGTGGATGCAGACACAAGGGTGTCAGAGCTCTTGTATGCAGAGCTGCAGGGGCCCGTGGATGCAGACACAAGGGTGTCAAAGCTCTTGTGGGTGGAGCTGATTATCCTATCCTTGATTATATCAAAGGCTGATCTATTTGGTGATTCCTGAATGAGGACAGACAAGTCCTGCTGCATTTCAGAACGGCATGAAGAAAGACTTTGGTCAAGCATATCTAGAGAATCTCTTGCCTCCAGAGTAGCAGAATTCGTGTTGGAGCTTTGATAGCCAGAATCAAAGGATTCTTCTGATTGTGACGACTTCTTGCTGGCTGTACTGCAATTGTAGTCACTTTGTGAGACTTCAGAGAAAAGGGAGTCTGTGTGCAAAATACTACATAGTTGCTGACGCAGGTTTGCTGTATTTTGCTGTAATGGGTTTTCTGACTCAATTCTCTCAAAGGTTTTATTCTCATCTGTGATGATGTCTGCATCTTTATTGTCTTGCATATTGTTTTCATCTTCCAGGAGTTTAATGAACATATTAGCCAGTGCATCATTGTGTTCAATGTGTTCCCTGAAAGGATTCGCACTGCCCTCACAAGGCTCAAACATGGTGACCTGGTTAGGAGTCTCTTCTTGACTCTCTGCCTCAATGCCTGGTGAACATTCACAGATTTCAAGAGACTTTTCGACCAGAATTGTTTCAGGGGTTAAAACTGCACCACAGCCTTTTGGGAACCAGTCTCCAAACTTGCTGTGGTCACTGCAAGGTTTCTCAATGTTTATGGTGGTATCTTTTTCTTTGAAGCTTTGGCCTGACAAACTTTGAGCCAGACAGTTCCCGCAACTTCTGTTTTGGGGAATAAAAACAAAAGTACAGTTAATGTTCATATAGTAGGAAAGCATTTCATGCTATTAAGCAGAGTTTTTTCCCCTCTATCTTACTTACATATGGTTTTCCATATGACTCTGCTTTAAGCCATGGAAAGGGAACTTAATTTCATCAACGTGGCAAAAAACTGAAAACTGTTAAAGATACAGACAAGATTTAGGATTTTGTTTAGTACCCTCTGCAATAGTCAGTCAATAACAGTTACTATATATTCTGTTTTTAAGAAGGAAAAGGCATCTTTAGCAAAACCTTAAATTACCTTGACATTTTTTACAAGCAAATGGCTCTTGGCTGGATTTGGAATTTGGTCCCACCATTCCTTCTTCACCCTATAAAGCAAGAAAGAAAACTTTTTGCTTTGACTGCTTTTTGACTTGATCTCTATATATTTCCTTCCTCTGCTCTGTTCTCCTAGCTGACTGCATTTCAGGAAGTGCTGCTTCTGTGCATCTCCAAATGTTTTTTTTTTTAATTAAACTAGTATAAATATGCTTATATATTTGGTGGTAACTATTCTGTACAACCACAGGCATATGTTCTTCTAATCTTGTATGAAAAGATGAATGAAACACATAGAACTGCACTTTTGTATACTAGTACTGAAAAATGCGAAGAAATACAGACATTTAACTTGGATTTCTGCAATGATTGGGGGCACTCAAGTGAGACACCCTAACTGCAGTTTGATTTGGATGCCATAACAAACCCATTTTAATAAAACTGTCCGAGAATATTCAGTTGTCCTTTCAAAAAAAGGCTGAGTGCAACTGATGCATGTTATTAAAAAATTGCTTGTGAAGTCTGAGATAAAGGTACTAAGAAAAACAAACTGTTAGATTCCTGTACTACATTCAACCAATCTACAGCAATACTGATATCTGTGTGAACTGCTACTCTGTAAAACTTTGAACAGTTATACATACTTGGTAAAACAGAAGTAACACATCACAGCTACTGCCATTATCAGTATGCAGGATACAGGAACTGCCATCTGCAGAATGTCTTCAGGTGTTACTTGATAATCTATTAAATAAACATATACATTTGCAGGTGTACCATGAATACCATATCTGTTGCTTTTTTGTTTTTGCACCTTCTGATAAGGCTAGACATAAAGTCTTCAGACAAACATCAAAATACACAGCTGCCAGTGGCAATGATGTGTCTGAAAGACCAGTATGAGTACTGCCCTCAATTACTGTGAACAAGTTAGGAGCTGGGAGGACCTAGCTGTGTCCTGAAGCCATTTGCCGGCAATTAGACACACTTGTCATGTAATGCCAAGCACAGCATGACCAGCTTCCACAGAAACACAGGCACGCTTCTCATCCTCTCTGTTAGTCTTCAGAGACTTTTCCAAATCCTCAGCTCTCTCACAATTGTAAGTATTGCTCAACTTCAAGCTTAAATCTTACAGGTATTTTATACTCACTTGCATTTACATCAACATTGCCCTTTAGTTTAAGTAGCTCTTCTCCTTCCTGGGTGTCTACTTCCTGAAACACTTGTAGAGAACATATATCCTCTTTCAGCCTTTTTTTTTTTCCCCCCCCCTCCTGATCACAGTGCTAAACAGTCCAAGGTCCCTTCCTCAGATTTTTCAGGAGTTGTGTTTTTGCACTTAGTCTCCTTGGAAACCTTCAAGAAATCTTCATAGATTGGTTCACAGTAGATTCAAAATGATGATGATGGCTTTATTTGCAGTTATTGCAAATCACAGATTCCATTACTCTCTTCTGGCAAACAAGAGGCAGTGGGACATACAAAATGTGGTTCACAAAAGCCTACTATCCTTTTACCAAGCCACTACTTGTAACAACACTTACCATAGTGAAATTCAATTCTGTCACTCCAGTCACTCCAGTAGGCTGGGTAGTCTGTGTAGTTACACCGTATGCTTACAATGTAATCATACCCTTTTGTCAAAGAGCTTGAAATAATTTCGAAACTTTTTGTCTGATAGTTAATTGATTTTATAGAAACCTGAAAAGAAAGTGAAAAAGTTCATTTTGATATTTTGGGGTATGAAGGGCTGATGGTAGCAATTAGGTACTAGTACTCTTATGCGCTTCAATGGCCTTTCTCAAACGAGCAGAAGAATGACTGTACATATGATCCGCTGTGATACTGTGTTTTGCTGTCATTAGCGGTAACGTTTATGATACACCATTACGCATGTTCTTCCCCTTCCAAAAGGGCCTGGCCTTGAAGTACTGTCGTACTCTGGATGATACCTAAAATGCCTCAAGGCACCACAGTCATGGGCTGTCTCAAGCTTCCTCATGTCCAGCGAAGGTCCAGGAATAGAAATGCTGTATTTTGAATCTTTGCCCAGCTGCAGGCCAGTCAAAAGAGTTTCAGTCCCTTAACCCCAGTTCAAAACTCTCTGTGGCAAAGTGACATGTGACAAGGATGCTCTCAGTGAGGACCCTTGCCAGCCCTAACACTATTAATGATGAAATGATTACAAAGTCCTTCAAGATTTTTCAAAGAATTTAATACCTGAAAGCTGCAGAGATAGAGAATAAAGAGACTATCTCTTACCTCTGTGGGGTCCTGCTTGCTCCAATATTTTACTTCATAGATCACCGGCTGTCCAAAGAGCATGGATTGAGAAGAATAGCTCTCTTCCCAGCTCAGATTGTAATTACCATTTTCAGCTTTCTCAATGGCAAGATTTTTGGGGGCCCTTGGCTTAACTGTGTATTTAAAAATACAATTAAGAGCACTGCAGTGGGAAAATACTGACGAAGAGAAGCAGAGAGACAAATAATCACCAGAGACCAGAGTCTCATCACAGTAAATGCACTTAGCCCTTTTCACTATGCTCTAGCACAAGGATATAAAGGACAAAATAGAGCAATTGCAAGGTTCATTAATGAACATCAGGTCTTCAAGTTAGCTGAAGAAATTTCACATTCTACTTTATAGTATACTGAACGCAGTTTCCAAAATGGAAAAATGGGGTAAATCTGTGCCCTCAGTAGCAGGCAGTGCCTTGGAGTAGACATAGATCTTATGACAACTTCTCGGACAGATTATTCTGGGTAAGTGTCTCTTCAACATTGATGCAGATTCCTGCTTATTCTGTTGATGAGCAGAAGCGACCTCAAGTATTCTGAAATGAACTAGATCACTGGTGCAGATGAATGCCTGCCTAAGACACTTGAATGATTTCTTTTAAGTGTTTGAGGTGACATGTTGTTCTAAACAAGATAAGTGCTTGTAAAGACAAGTATAAACTAAATCTATGCTCTGTTCTGAGAAAGTGAAGATTCCTAAACTTTTTATCATTGGTTCTTACAATCCAATAGTATTTACCCTGAAAATCACCAGAGGGATGCTTTAACTACCAAGAAAAATATGTGATGATGACAAAGACAGAAGCACTAAACTGCAGCAGGCATAGTCTAATTTCTTCCTCGAGACTAGGAGTAACCTCAGCATCTTCTACAGCCACAAGCAAAATACACTAAAGATATGGCTAAGCCCTCAAACTAGTAATTACTGGAAGCTCAGAGAGTACGGCTAGAAGAATCACTCTTTTTGCCCCATTTTTTGTTCTTTCCTTAAGAATCTGCTCCAGAACCAGGTTACTAAGCCAAATGAACCTTTGATTTGAGCTAACAGAGCTTTTTTTTTTTTTTTTAACCTCCAATAAGGAAAAATTCTTCAGATACCATTAATAGAATAGGATTGCAAGACTGTAAGCAGAAGATATCCTGGTGACAAAGTAAATGGTTTCTTACCAACCAAGGCTGGTGTAACACTGTAATTCCCCATATTAGTCCCATTGAACTGCAGAGCTAGAATGTAGGTGAGGCCTGATACAAAAATATCAGGATATATTGTGCAAGTGCATGTGGAACTCTCTTTACCATTCTTGGGGATGCACACAAAACTTCTGAAAAACAGACAAAAAAAAAGTGTGACATTTACATATAGTTACACACACTGTTCTTCAGAATGTGCACTCAAGATTCCCAATGTGTAGAGCTAATACAACCTGAGAAAAAAATGCTTAGTTCCTAGAAACACTTAGCCAAATCTACACAGAACAGAACTACCATCTAAACCTTGAAGTAACCCATCCACCCCCAAAGACTCCTCAGCTATCTTTCTTACACTAGGGAAAAACCCGATGGAAAACTAAGGATTTATCCCAAGAAGAAAAGTTGACACCAAAAGCATCCTTTGTCATAGTTCGGCCTCTGAAATAGCAGATTAATGTCTTGTTAGCATGGAAAGAGTTTTACTACTCGATACAAAACAAAATACAAGGTTACTTGGATGTCTCTGTGAAGAAATCATATAGAAAGAAGACCAGATGCATCTTTTACACAAGCTAGAGACAGGTAGATCAGGTAAATTTCTCCTGAAGAAAGTAAAAATTCTCCTGAAATGAAGGTTAGGTAAACTTGTATGAGACCTAGCACTCCTACAAGTAATACTTGACCATTCCTTTGTACTAAGAGCACAAAGAGAGGCCTGCACAAGAGTGCTTCACTGAGCAAAGCATGCTGTTTATAGCAGCATCCCATTTTTCCTCCTGGCAAAAAGAATAAACCCAGTTCCTCTTTGCCCCAGGCTCCTGTGGCAGGGGGAATAAATGAAAGCTGCTAATGACTATAGCATATTTTAAGGTCCAATAATGATAACTGTTTTATTAAACACTTACTGCGGAGATGGATATTCACTCTTGAGCAGGAATTCTTTGGAGCAGTTTGTCTGTGCAGGCACCTTCCAGTGACAAACCAGTTCTTCAGCATAGTCAGTGAAGCATGCAAAGTCCTGCACATGTCCTGTAGCCATAACTAGAGAGAGACAGCGCATGGTAAGAATCAGGAGAATCAAAAGAATAATTCAGACTAAGCAGGAACATAAAATCCTTTCTTCTACACAGAATGATCAAACCCTCACAAGGGAAGTGAAAGCACAGCCATTTCTCATGTTCTGTGTAAAAGAAGAGATACATGACACCAAGTATCTCCAGAAAGGTGAAGACAACCCCTATGCTTTTAAGTAAGATAAGCACTAGAAATACTGAAATAAAAAGCACAACTCATCTAATAAGACTTCTAGGCACAGAAAATCTGACCTTGATGAGCTCCACCTAAAAAAACACCAACTTTAAAACAGTATTATTCCATCTGTTACACAAGTATCAAAAGAAAAAAAAATGCAGATAATTAATGGAGTCGGATCAAGATCTCTGTCTAAAGGCAAATGATTTATCTACTCTGGTCCCAAGTCCTTGTATGAATGGCCCTCTGCATCCCCCAAACAGTGCCTGTTGCCCAAAGGATCTTCCTGTCACAGATTTTAGTACACAGCTTTTCTTCATTTCATTCAGTATTTCCTGTTATGGTTTGTATTTTATTTTCTTGTGATAGTGGTTCAGAGTATTGATCAGATCCAAAGTTACACTGTCCTGGCTATTGAGAAGGCAGAAAAGACTCCTAAATCCATGTGCTCCAACATTATTAACAGGTATCTCTTTTATTGGTTCTGCTTAAAAACAAAGGAATGGGGGGGGGGGGTTAAATCGGCTCTGACAGAACTGAAAAATGGAAAACAATCCTCAGAATCCTTTCTAGCTCCATTTTCCTACTACACATAGGGAAACAAGAATCAGAAACAGTTATGTGACTTAAGATTGTGCAGTTACTAGAACTAACAGTGTGCTAAACCTACCTATGGTACTGAAATCTTTCCCAAATGGAGCTGTCAGAAATAACTAATATCATCCTAGACAAAAAATCTTTCCCTCCTTCCATGTTTGACCTATCAAATAATTGTAAATATTTACAATAACTCCCTTTTCTTGCACAGTGCTCTCTATCTCAGATCCCCATAAAAATTTAGAATACCTTTGATTATTAGCAACCTATTTATTGATACTTTTCTGAAGAGTTTTTGCCAGAAGTATTC